GGATTGAATCGATCGCTCTTCCAGAAGTGAGTGACCCTTCCACCCTCGACCACTGACATTTTAATATACAATTGTCCCTTCAACGACTCCTGCTCGTGCATCGTCTGGAGGGAACACCTGAGTCTGGACAAACTCAGGACGAGTTTGCCCTCGCTCACGTCCTTCTTGTCGCTCTTCTCCTGGATGAGGACCATCTCCACCTGTCCCTTCTTATTCTCCCTCTGACAATGGGTAAAACAAAATTATTCTTCTCATAGTTATAAAAATATAATTGTTTTCTATCAATTACCCTGTCTTCAGCTCCAGAGATTCCACTGGCAATAGGTCTCAGAGGTTTCCAGAGATCTCCAGTGGAGACATCCTCTGGGTGTTTTGGCCTTGGTGGCTTTATCCCGAAGTTCTTCGGGTCCAGAGGGATTGTCGTAGCACCCACAGTCCTCCTCTGATCGATCTTCCTCCTCTCTGGGGTTTTATCCTCCTTATCCTGGCTCTTGTTGAAGAATTGGCTCAGCAATTTGTTGGATTTTGTCTCCTGCGAGCCCGAAGCTCCAGAGCTGTCTTTCTTCTTCGAGTCCTTCTCTGGAGACTTCTTCGATTTATCTTTATCCATTTCCTTCTTCTCAGATGCCACCAGGGGCTTGTCCTCCAGGATTGCGTATAGTGTCGCGATTATTAGTCTCGATCCGTCGATCTCTTCTTCAGTCACTTTCGATTTTCCAAATCGAACTTTTGTCTCTTTTCGAAGGGGAAATACGAACTCCTCGTTCCACTGAGGCCATGATTCATTTTTCGTTGTTGTCTCGAATTTATCTTTTCCAGGGAAAAGTTTTACCTTCAAGGAAATGGAGGAAAAATCGGTTGGAAAATTCTCACGAAAACATTTTGGGTGATTTAAAAGCAAAACCATGGGAGTGTTAAATACCGATGTATCTAAAAAAGTACTGATTTGAGAAGAAATTATCAAGAAACATTTTTTCTCGGAAATTTAATTTGCTACAAGAAAGGTCTTTATGACTTTCGTGTCAAACCGATAATTTCCGAGATAATTCATTACCCAGAGTCGATCGATTTGACAAAATTACAACTAGGCTGCAGATATCTTTAAAAAAATTTCCCTCACCCTGACGATGTAGCTGTTGACTCTGGTGAATCCAAAATTCTGTGGCAGATGCCTTGCCCCGATGACGATCACCCTGAGCTCTCTATCCCCTGG